AGACTTACGTGGAAACTCCGTATCGAACAATTTTTTTTTTTTTTTTTTTAATGACAATAACTCTTCCCGAAGAAAATAGCTCGCTCTAAACTGGGGTGCAGATATGGTAATACTGAGGTCATTATACACTGGCTACATTAGGTCTTCCTTGAAGTATGGAATTACTGAGGAAACTGAGGGAACACTGCAGCCTCGAACCTTCAGAGGCTAAGGATAATGACAGGAGGAATGAAGTCTTCGCCAACTGTAAACATGGAGGCATTTGCGAAACAACCCTCAATAGATGATTGGAGAGGTGTGATAGGTGATAGGTGTGACAACACCTAGATGCAAAAGCCAAGTCCGTTCCAAATCATCCTTTCAACAAAGGGTGAGAGAAAGGAGCATAAACAAACTAAAACGGCAATGTTCGATAAAGGTATGTTGCGGTCCCGATGAGTTGAAATATACACATTTTTCAAGTATTCAATAGTATTTGATTTCCTCATAAGATTATCCTAAAAGAATCTTTGAAAGCCAAAGGTAGACAAGGTTTTAATCAGATCGCCCATGTTTTAACATCTGCCAAGTATTCTTCAAATATTACTGATGTAAGAAGCATACGATTCTGATCAATATCCAACGAATATAAGACTATGGCAAAAAGTAGCCAGGATGTGAAAAACCAGACACAATAAAAACGAAAAATGTAACTTCGATAAACTTAAATCGGGAGAAATAACTCAAAAAGTTTCATAAAAGAATCAATGATGAAATTAAAAATCAAAGCAGAAATGAAGAACGAAATGATAACAAAAAAATAAAAGAAAAATGGAAAATTTTAATGAGTGTTTTATGCAAGGCACCAAAAGAGACAATGGGATAGATGAAAGGCTGCAGAAATAGTGAGTGGTTTAATGAGAAAGAAAAAGAATTGATAAAAACTTAAGCATATTATTAAAGAGGCATACGAGGCGAAATTATGAGACATATTTTATTGGAAGAAGAAAAGATAAAGGAATGTTCAGAGAGCACAAAATAATTAATAAGCACCTGGAAGATACAGAAAGGATGAATGATGAACATGACAGCAAAAAAATTTACAAAGAGATAATTATTTCAGGATAGTCTACTAACCGAAATTTAAAAGTAAAACAGGGTAGGGTAGGCTTTGGACGGAGAAAGAAAAATTATGAGAAGATTAAAAAAAGAAAAATTATGATTGGCTGAGCACTTCACGATAAACATACGGTACAATGATAATGAAATGAAGAAAGTAGGGGAGGAAAATTTGATGTGCTATCCACAACCACCTTGAAATTGATGTTGGAAATCCAGATGGAGATGATGTAGCATTGGCCGGAGATGAAATGGACTTGTTGCGGAATTTATAAAAAGTAGGAGTGATGGAATGAAGGACATACATACATGAATTAATTTGTTGTGTGTGGAACCAAGAGATGGTGCCTAAGGAATGGACATTTGAACTAATATGCCCCATTTTAAAAAGCTGTAGCAAAAACCAGGGGTCCAATTATAGAGGTTTCTCATTACTAGTAATACTATACAAAGTGGTATCCAATATAATCCTTTGAAGGTTCAGGAGATACACAGAGTAAATATTTACTAGAGGTTGGCTAAATCTTTTTCATGGTTCACGGAGGTCTTAGCAATAATAAAATTTAACAATTACACATCAATTTTAATAATACTTTTTATATCCTCTAGCCTTCTTTTTTTTAAATATTAATATTTGAATCGATATAAAATATCATTAGATCACATAGAAAATGTACACATTGTTGCTACCTCCATATAAAATTGAAAAGAACTATTAAATTTGGGTGCGTAAAATATAAATTATGAGTACACTATTTTTTTTTCTTACTATTGTTAATTAGTCCAACCATTGTCTTTAATGCGGCTATGGGAACGGAAACTGAGAGCGAAAAATGTATAGGATATGTGGAGAGAAATTATGATCAAAGAATGCCAACGAGGATGCTCTATTGGAAACCGAAAGGCAAGAAAAGTAGAGGACGCTAAAGGATGTGGAAGACAATCTGAGGCGGCTGGGTGTTCGAAAAAGGAGATAGAAGGTACAAGGTAGGGAAGATTTTGGCTGGAAGATATAGGCTGTAGAGATACTGATCGGGTTTCTCGCAGCACGGTAGTGCCATAATAATAATAATTTAAAAAATTGGATTATTTAAAATTCTCGGAGATCTATATTTATAATAGCGAGCAAAGTCCCGAGGAAATGATAGAAACAATATATATATAGTAGCAACGCCGAGCGTGGTTAGCACTTGGATGGGTGACCGCTCCGATTTGGTGGGTGACCGCCCACACCAAGGAAAGCTAGACTGCCCGATACCCACCCCGGGTATTGGTGGCCCGTCAGCCTACTGGAGGCAACTCACACCGACTGGACGTAGGTTCGATGAGCCTACCTTGCACTATAATCGGGAATCGGGATGTGGTCTAGGAGAATACATTTCGCGTCAAAGATCTTCATGGTCTGTAGCGCCAACCGAAAAAAAAAAAAACGTCTGCCAAGTAAGGTCAGTATAGCTTCCTCACCGTTTCCGTTGTATATTGCAAGATATACAATTTTTCGTATGAGAATAAAATCTCTGAGAGAAGCAGAATCGGTACAGCCGATTACAGTTACCCTTCAACGTTCAACAACAGAGGGTCGTATTTGAATATTCAACACTTGATTATGCTTAATAAAAAAATAAATAAATAAAAAAAAATACATACTGAACATGAATTTCAATACTGTTAGTTCAAAAGGTATAAATTTATTTATTGTTTTACAAGAGTGCATAAAAACTCAATATTTCTTTATGCTTTATTAGAATAATTTCATATTTTATTTTCATCTGCTATTTTCCATAGTAGCAGATTACTTATATCAGTTGCAGACTACAAAATATCACCTTTAATACACCTAGAATTAAAGTTATAAATTATTACATACGAACTTATGCTCTAATAATAGTATATACATTACCGAATCAAGATTTAATTTTGGAGGAGGGGCTTCAGCACGAAAGATTTATATATATATATATATATATCGATAATTAATTTGAAAAAAAACCACTGCAAATTATTTCTCTTTGGTATATTATTTCCAAACAATTATACATATAAAGTAACATTAAATTCCTAGTTATAAAGAAAAATAAATAAAAGGTGATTCTAATTATTGGACTAAATTTTTTTTTAATCATTAGTAATATGCTAAAAAAAATAGCATTACTTCAGTAACACATTCAGAAATCAAGAAAAAGATAAACCTTTTGCAATAGCCCATCTAAAAAAAACTAGAGATCATATCTTTGCTCCTAATTGTCCGATTTTGACGATTTTTTTTTTTGTTTTTTAGGTAATTCCGTAAACTTCTAAAAAACCATATACAATATTGACAATATGTGTATACTTCTTGAGTTATTCGAAATTTCATTTTACCATCCCTCGTAACTTGTTTTGAGCTTCTTTTCGTTGAAGTATGTAGCATAGATAAATTTAGAGGGCGTAGAGAAAATGGCTTTAGCGAAGTTTCATCAAAATCGGTACATTCGTTTAGGCGCTATAGTCTATAGCAACGCAGGTTTTTCGGCCGCCATTTTGAAACTAGAAGGCGAATAGTAATGTCGTTGAAGGAGGATGATCCTCGGGCGACCTCTGATTTTATATCCATATTCGAAAAAAATCGGTCTAGTAGTTTCAGAAAAAATGAGCGGACGGCGGACGGCGGACTAGTAGTGCACATATAAGAGAAAGTGTTGGACACAATTCAATGAAATTGACACTACATTATTTTTTCACCAAAGTCTACCTTTTATCTAACTTTGAGCCAAATCGAACGAGCCCTTTCTGAAATATTGGCATATCTAAAAATATACGTTTGCGCGTGCGTAAGCGGAAGTGCTGGATGGAATTTGATAAAATTGATATGGGACCATCTAGGCACCAATCAGCATAATCCCTGAAAATTTCATGAAGATTGGATGAACGGTACTAGGTGATATGCCCGTCACATCGATTTGACTACAGACAGACTGACAGACAGACAGACAGACAGAAACCGAACCAAATTTGATCCTTGATGTCTGAAACGTAAAACGCGAGTGAAAATTTTCAGTTCTGAGCAAAAAAAATTTTTTAATCCCTCGCACGAACACAATGCTTCCCTACCTTCGGTAGTGAGGAAGCAAAAAGAAGTATATGTATATATTCAATAAAATATTCAACTTTTTAGATAATTATTTTCATTTCTAGTACTTCTTGAATTACTATTTTGATTCCTTATAATAGAAATGAATAAAATAAAAAGTAAGGAATCCCTTGGGAGTTTTCTACATCGCTTTCACGTTTTTACACCCCTGATTACACAAAAAGAATAAAAAGTGATTGGTTTATTAATAATTTATATTAAAAAGATATTTTATTTTATATTTTATGTTCAACACTGAAATCATGATTTTAATTTATTTTGCATATGTCTGCAGAATCACCCTAATAAATCTCTCAATATTATCTAATAAATAAATGAGTAGCTGGACACAATATTTGACATACTGTGCAATATATACAGTTAATTTGATATATATTTTAGGAATATTATTTGGCAGTTTGACGTTGTGATTAGAGTGTTTCACGAAGGAAATCTAAATTTCATTAAAATTAAAATATATTTTGTAATATTATAAAAATATTCATTAATTTATTGTAGATATAATTACTTTATACTTGGAGCGGTGGTAAGACATGAGATTTTTCTCATGTCGTGCTCTAATTCAGACTGTGTTGTGTTATTATTTAAGCTCCTATTCTACCCTAAAGAATGCCGTAATCCTCAGCATATATTAAAATGAATATCGAGTGAGAGCTTTATTTCTAATGCTCTTCTTCTGAAATTTCTATTGATTGAAATTGATACATATACCTCTAAACTATCGGATTTACATTACTACCATATTAATTCAACAATTCTTCATCTTTTACAGACATGGTACGGAACGGGCCTTACAAAGATATGTACTGCTCGAAGCAGATGATCAACGACAAAGAGGACGCGGCCAACAACTATGGAAGAGGATACTGCACCGTGGGCAAGGCCATCCTAGGGAGGGTGATGAACCAGTCGAGGAAGATGATCGAGACATGCGACCGACTTCAAGGCTTCATCATCTACCACTCCTTCGGGGGCGGGACCGGCTCCGGGTTCCATGCACTCCTCTCGGACAACATCAACCTCGAGTATCCCAAGAGTAGCAAGATGGAAATGTCTATTTTTCCTTCACCAATGGTATGCCATTAATGCAAAATTAACATATATATTAAATTATTAAACATTATAAATTAATTATGAATTTGCAGTTGGCAACAGCAGTCGTGGAGCCTTACAACGCTGCCTTGACGACAAACGCTACCCTTGAATTTTCGGATTGTGTCTTCCTTGCTGACAACGAAGCAATGTACAACATTTGTCAAAACCGACTCGATATCGACAGCCCTACGTACAGAAACTTGAACAACATCCTAGCGCAAACCGTCAGTTCAATAACCGCGAGCCTGAGGTTTAAAAGCTCTCTTAACGCTGACTTCATCGACTTTCAGACCAATTTGGTACCTTATCCTAGGATACATTTCCCGATATTCAGCTACGCTCCAATCGTTCCCTCGACTAGAGTAACCCACGAATCACTAACAGCATCTGATTTGACCCTTCAGTGTTTCGACCCGACTAACAGACTGGCCAAGTGCCCAACAGACACATCCCGTTACATCGCCTGCTGCTTGCTTTACCGCGGCGATATCACTCCTAAAGACGTCAATTTTGCTATAGCTATGTTAAAAGCAAAGAAAAACATACGTTTTGTAACTTGGTCTCCCACTGGCTTCAAGATAGGCATCAATAGCAGGACACCAGGAGTTATACCTAATTCGAATATGGCTTCTATGGAGAAGTCGGTTTGTATGGTTTACAACACAACAGCGATGAAGGAAGCTTGGGTGGCTCTTAACATCAAATTCTCCCTGATGTTGAAGAAGCGAGCTTTCCTCCATTGGTACACGGGGGAAGGCATGGAAGAAGATGACTTCTTAGCTACTCAGGAAAATCTTGCTCTTTTGGAAGCTGATTATATTCAACTTGAATTAGAATGAACTAAAATCTGCTTTGCGTGGATGTTTGCATATATGTGCCTCTTTTTAAATTTAAACAATAAAAAAATTTCATTTTAGCTAAAAGTTATTACTACATATTTTAAAAATTTTATAATTATAATATATGACATTTATAGTTAATTTGCATGTTGTGAGACAACACGACAATACATTATAAATAATTTTGTATCCAAAATATTTTATAGTGATAATTTATTCATTTAACTAATAAAAATATTCAGGGCGAACTATTAGTGGACTAAGAGAATATTTTTTAATTTACATACTTTTTTTTTAGCATTTCCTTCTCTTAGCAGTTAGTATATTATGTGAAGAAAGCAGAACTATCTTTGAAAATGGAATTTTTGTCATTGATACAAGGATTTTGTAAGAAATGTTTTGTTCTTCTGGTCACATCACTTGATATAACACCAATTTACCAACTAAAGCCTATAACCCTAGGGAATATCGGAAAATGATTCCCAGAAACAGATTAGCTCCATGTATATACTGATGGTTCTCCACTGAATGCATGCAAAAATGGCGGAACTGGAGTTTATTCAAAGAATTTTCAACTTGCCGCCCCGGTCGAAAAAGTAGCCAAAAACTTTGAAGAGGCAGTAAAAGCCATTCTCTTAGGCCTTGAGAGATTGGTTGAACGAAAATACAAGAAAGTTTCTTTTTTTTTGTTGACTCTCAGGCAGCCATTTTGTCCCTCCAAAACGGATTTAATATGAATCCAAATTTCCTTAAATACCATCTATATTTGGACAGATTAAAGGAAGATGGGGCAGAACCAAAGTGGCAGGATCTCGAGAGACCTCCCTGGAGGGCATGCCTTGACATGCTTTAGAATGCTCACAAGGCACGATTTCCTGCAGAAGCACCTCCATCGCATCGGTATAAAAGATAGCCCAACATGTCGTCTGTGTTCCTTGGATATTATGACAGGAGAACATCTTGATACAGGCCCTGCATTACAGGACATCAGAAATGGACATCAGAAAGAATTCTCTTGTTAAATGGAAAGCCATTATGCTAGGAGAGCAAAACTATATTGGACTGCAAGAGGACGATCAAGCAGGCGTTACTTAGGAATAGAATAACAAAAAAAAACACATCACTATATTATTTTTAGAATTTGGAAGCTTCTGAACATTTCTTGTTAAGCTTTAATTATATTTCTTTTGTTTAGTAATCAAACTAACAATGAAAGAAATAGGTATTAAATGCTTAAGTATGGCACGCGCCGATTTTATTTTGTCGTTGATACATTATTTTAATGTTAATGTTAGTTAATAATTTTTCTAAAAAAGATAAATAAAAAAAATCTTAATCAATTATGCACTAATAAATAACCATTATCATGAACTGTAAACATTGTAGTTTTAAACTGATCATTATTCTCCTTAACATCTCCAAAGCCTTTGATTCTGTTTCCCACAATATTCCCTTTTCGAAGCTTCACAGTCTGTCTCTGTTGGTACTCTGCGGTGATTTTGTTCGTTCCTTATCGGTCGTTCCCAGTATGTCACTGTAACCAATAACACTCCCTCTGGTTCTCGACCCCTGCTTCAAAGCGCATCTCAGTGACAATCCTCGCCTCCTACTCTTTTCTCCATCTTTATTAATGATCTCACACTCTCCACACAGCATCCCCGATATCATTGATATGCCGACGACGCAATCATGAAACTACTGGAAGACCTCAACGGAATAAGGGCTTTAACTTCTCGCAATAAGCTAACCATGCATGTCAAGAAGACCAAAGCCATCATTATTGAGAATCCTCTTTCCTCCTAAAATTCTTCCCATAGCAGCCTTGCCTTGCCCTCAACAACACTCCCCTCTCATTACACACCTCAGTCAAAAACCTTGGAGGGTCACCTATGATCAAACTCTCTCATGGAAACAACTTATCTTCCGGAGGACCATTATAATATATATATACACCATTGAATTAATATCCTGATTTATAATTGTTTCTCTCAGGCTTATTTAAAATAAATATAAGCCTTATAATATATTTTATTATTATTATTATATTATAAGCCTTATAATATATATATATAAAATATAATATATTTTAAATACGATAGAGCTATCTCAACATTTTTTACGGAAATTTATTAATGAAGGTTAACATTTTTCAATAATACAAAACAATTATTACTTCATAGCCGTATAATTGACAAGATTCAGCTTTCTAAACTTTATACCTAGTTAACTTATCAAGTATAATAAAATCATCGAGTACTCACAAATAAACCAGCATTCGATATCAGCTTCTATTTCTTAATCTGGAATATAGCTTGTTTCGGATAATATTTCATGGTAAGAGTTTATGTGAAGGTAAAACACAGAGTGTTCTCATTTCTATTCCTTTCTATATTAATTCCGAATCACAAACTCCATTTAACTTTCTTCAGATACTCTACTAGTCCTTCTGCTAAATCTACCAAATGAAGATGAATAATAGAATAGTCGAGGTAATATTAAAAATCAGTAATTTAATTTTAAGACTTTAAACATTTCTGAATTACGTACTCCCAGCTGTTTCAATAGGGAATTAACTGAGCGTACATTTGATAATTGAAGCTAAACCTTCTATTCTTAGAAATATCAACAGATTGCCATTGTAAGAGTCTGTGCAACAAGTGCTATTACGTCGACAGCATCCGACTAGCACTTCTCGAAGACATACTACATCACGATGGATTTTTTTTCGTAGTCAGAGTCTAACTATGAATAAAAATATCATTAAAACGTTTTTTTCATATATTTTTTGTTATTATTTATTCATGGTAGAACTCAAACTAGTAAAAAGTGTTCACATGACTGCTTTGCAATTCGTAAAGAGTGTAGACTGTCAGAAAATCAGTAAATATTGAAGTTTTGATTGTATTCTACTTCTTAGTTTCTTATGAATATCTTATGCAGAAAATTCTTTTTAATCCATTATCTTAAAACTATTTATAAATTTAAGAAAAATAAATTTGTCTACGATTGCTGACGAATAGAGGTAAGTCACTTTGAGGATTCTGTAGCGATGAGGGATTTCATATGATGATTAACAATTTCTTCTTGCGAAACAATGACATGTGTGATGCTTAACCTAAAACCTGTTAATCTTTATTTACATATTGATTCAATAACGCCATTTTTTTATTATTTCTGTTAACATACCTATTATTTAAATAGGTAATCAAATTATTTTTATGTTATTATTTAGTAGCCTTAACAAGCCTTCTCCATCTTTTCATATCTCAAGATTTATGACCTTCGACCATTAATTGAGGTTGTTGTGGATCGATGTATTTAACTTTGTCTATTCTCGAGAACGGTTTCTCTTCTAATAAATATGGAATTATCAGCTTATTACCATATATTTTGTTGTATCTTTACTTACTTGTAGACCGATTTCTTTTATCAGTGTTTCAGCGAGTTTCTCACTGTCCTCTTGAGTGCTTCCACGACCAACTATTCATTCCGACGTACAACAAACCATTTTCGTTTTATGTTGTTCTTGTCACCTTTTCCAGTGCTAAGTTAAAATATATCGACGAAAGTCCATCTTCCTGCCGCAAGGCAGTTCGGACTTAGAAGGCTTTAGATACTTCTCCTTGTATTAAGTCTAAACATTTGTGGTCATTTGTATAAGCCTTTTTCAATCTCACCGATTTCCTGGGAATTCCAAGTTTAGTCATGATTTTCCAAAGGAAGTTTTTCTGTCCATAGAATCATAGGCTACATTGAAGTCGACAAATAAGTTGTGCAGATCCCGAGCTACTTTCCATCGTTTTACAAATAATTCTTTTAGAATTGTAGTTGCCTTTTAGTACACCAGCCCGCTATCTGGCAGAGCCAAATGGGCATACTCATTCATTTTATCTACAAGTTTTATTTTTGCAAAAAAACGGAAGTTTTTAAATTTTAAATACAGTTATACATTGTGAATAATTTTTAATAATAAATTCTGTAGTAATAAAACATACCAATCAAAACTTAAAATAACAGTAAGTCTAAAGATTCTTGCTAGCCAATTTATTCATGGTGGAATAATTACAGTAGTCCTCTAAATGCTAATTCAGATCTTGGATCTGTTTCCTTCGGGAAGCAGGACTTCAAATAAAGATTCAGGTTGATCAGCACATTATATATACATACATTTTGGTTCCCTATCAATCTGACCTTCATTCCTTACATTGCATATTTAACCGTTTCTCCTTTACTCTCTCCGTACAAGGTATGAATGCTTATCCGTCCGTTTGTACTTCTACGTACTAAGTCTGGAGGCTCATCCCTCCGTTAGTGTTTTTTCTCCCACAAAGTCTGGATGGTCATCCCTTCGTTTGTGGTTTGGTAAGACTTATGACTTGTCTTATCCCACAGATCTCGATGATTTGGGTGCTTAGACTCGAGGTCATCCTGTTTCAACCTTCTCCTCAACCACTGAGTCAGTTTTTTCTTAACATTAAACACAGTCTGTCCAGTCCTTCTGATCACTCTATTTCTACTTACCTGGACAGGAAAGTCTGGTCCAACGTTTTCATTTCCCGTAAATCTATATATATATATATATATATACGGGTGTGAGACAAGGGGACGGACTGTCACCTATTCTCTTCAACGTTGTTCTCGACAAAGTTATGAAGACCTTATGGGAAAAAGAAACATCAGTAGCTAAAGTAGGAAATCAAAGGAGCAATATCCTGGTAAAATGTCTAGCATGATGACTTGGCCCTATTGGCAGAGTCGGAGGAAGATGCGATTAGACAGATAAATTCGCTGAAAAAAAAATAGCTGAGAAAACTGGACTTAAAATCTCCTTCCAGAAGACTAAATTTATGACCACAAACCCCAACTATAGGAAGATAGAAATAAAAACGGAATTCGGTAAAATCAAGGTGGTTAAAAGCTTTAAATACCTGGGCGAAATAATCAGCAGAAATTTATCGGAGAAAGAAAGCATGGAGTATAAGATGCAAAATTTGGAGAAATTATGCTACTTAAAGAGTAGCATTTATAATAGAAAATACCTCTCCAAAAAGTCCAAAATCAGGCACTACAATACAGTGATAAACCCAGTGATACTGTACGGAACGGAGACAATGTTCTTTCCCAGTTTGGAGAAACTGCTGAAAACAGAAAGAAGGATTCTTAGAAGAATCCATGGGTCCAAAATAACACCAGAAGGATACAGACTGAGATATAATAAGGAGATTTACAGTGAAACCTCTGATTTGAAAATGGAAATGAGGGTAACAAGACTATGTTTTATGGACACATGCAAAGGATGACCGAGGTGAGGTTAAGCAATTAGATTTTCAATAGGGTTATGGGATACAAGTTTAACCATGGATATACGGTACAAATAAAACAGGAAATACAGATGCTTGGGATAACACGGGAATTATGTGAGGATAGGACAGAATACAAGAAATTCCTGAAAAGTGCGGTGCATTTGGTGTACAGTAAGGAACTTCCGTCCAGGAGGAAGTGGACGGAGAAGAAGAAAAAATTTATCGATATCCTCAAGCAGAGATGGGCAGAAAGGAAGAAATTGAAAAAGAAACCAGTTTCATAGTCGTGTAGTCCTTCGGGGATGTTTCACGTCAAATAAATAAATTATACATATATATATATATATATATATATATATATATATATATATATATATATATATATATATATATATAACATCTTATACATATAACATATATATATATATATATATATATATATATATATATACAGTATACTTTAAATTGCATCTTTTTTATATTATTCATTTTACTCCTCTTACTTTGTACTTAAATTGTTGTTAATTTGTACTAGAATTTATTTTGGATTTGGAATCGCCTAGCAAATATTGTTATATCAAGACTAATGGAAAGATGTTTGAATACTATGTACATCTATTTTATAAGAGATACTAAAAATCCTATAGCGAAGAAGAAAAACCATTGGCTTCATGTCATTTGTATTCAATTTTTTTTAGTTTTAAATTCTTATCGATCCGGTTCCTGCAGCAACCTCTTCTAGTTTTGATCAATGTTTCCATAATATTTACATTATTTATTTATTTATTATCAACTGACAATACAAAATGCTACATAGAGAAATTTTTCATTATTTTTTTTTTTATACAAAATTAAATGTTTGTTGTAAAAATTTATATCGCCTTTCAGAACAATGATTATATTTCGAAAAAGAGTACCTGTGTTAATTGGTCAAACAATTAATATCTAAACTTAGTTTAATTTGCTTCCAGTAAACCAAAATTCATAATTTTTTAATGTAAAAAATACCATTTTTTCATCTCAATCTAAGGAGTATATATTTATAGATTCGTTTCAATTTACTAAGGAGAATATAGGAGAATCTATTGAATGTTTTCAAATAATCTAGTATAATAGAGTAATTGGCTATTTCAGTGAGATCCGTTGGAAGAATATAATCCAAAAATATTAAACTATTTTTCGCAGTTCGTTGTATTATTTTTAATTATATAAGATAGGGCGTGGTGTTCAGCTGGCCTCCAGACAGAGATATTTTAGAAAACTTATATCATTAAATGTGGAAGATATATTCTTCCTCTAAATCAGCTATTTTATTCTGGAAATTAGTTTTTACTCATCGCATTTTATGATGATCATTTAACAGGGATAACATTTATTCATATAACGAATAAATAATCATAAATCCAGAAAAGTAATATGATTGACAGGGAACTTAACAGATCCAGTATTGCTCAATATTAAAAAAAAAAAAATTAGATAATTTTTTTTTTTTTAATATTTGTTTATTTAGAAATATTACACTCTGTCACATCAAGGACATTTATAATAGTGTTCAGAGAAAGCACACTCACACTCTATTTACAATAAAAAAAAAATAAAAAAAATAATACAGAAACTTAATAATAATAAATACAATAAAATAAAATAAAAATAAATACAATAAAATAAAATAAATGTATATAAACAAAAGAACTGGATAATTTTTAAACAAATTAAATGAGAAACTCCATATTCTGATGAATCATCTAAAAAAAATCATAAATACGAAAATACATAATAAAAAAAAATTCTATTCACGGAGAGAATAAATTAGTTACCATATTTTAATGATTAAGCTTAAACCACTGGATAATTTGATAATATTCTAATTTTCTTTCCTAAATGGTAAGTCGAAATTCGCCTCATTTAGATGATAACAATTGAGTACAAATTTGCTAAATAAAAAGCAATAAAAACATGATTCGGAGTGCGTATCACATAATATTCATTTATCTTTTATTTTCCTTATTAGCTGTTTCTGGTATACGGGTTATATTTTTTTTTAAACTATCTAGTATTGAGAATTTTGCTGTATTTGGTTATTTGAATGCAGGGAAGCTTTTAAAGTGTTTTTCTGTTGAAAACACAGATTTAGAATTTCTCAAGATACTTTATATTATATACTATACATCGAAAGTAAAATTACATTTAAAAAAAAGTTGTAAATATATTTATTAATACCTCAAATTCAAATTGTCCTTCCGATAACACAGAAAAATATATCGGTTGAATTTTTCGGGCTTAAAAAAAATGTTTTATTATTAATTTTATTTCCTATAAACCAATTATTTTTTTTTTTATTTTAGTATTAGCGATTAATATTTTTATAGATTGTAACGATGCAGAATCATCCAAAAAAAAATTAGTTAATATCGGTTACCCACTGACTTTGACCTGTTGTTGTTAATCAAGTACTATTAAGTTGAAACATGCAATTATAATCCAAATTTCACCCAAAATTAATACAAATAAATAACGCGCAGCACAGCAACCTTTACATATATGTTTACTACTTTGAAAAACTTTACCATGGTGACTATGTACGATTCCTCAAGGATTAGACATATTTTTTTGGTTTATGGTGAATCTTAATTAATTTACAGAAAATTCACAAGGCAGTTTTTAATTAGTTTTATTGAATACACTAAAATTTCCTACAATCACCTTTTTGAAGCTCAATTTCAAATTTTCTCTGACACAAACCTCACAACAGACAATGATAATCAGTTTCAAGGGTAAGAAGATCTGCCTGTGCTTCGTGGAATTCTTCTTCCATCATACCTTCGCCAGTGTACCAATGAACGAACGCTCTTCTCTTCAGCATCATATCGTACTTGTTATTCAAAGAATGTAAAGCCTTGGTGACTGCGGTCGTATTGGCCAACATACACACAGTCTTCTTCGGAGCAGCGATGCTCCCATCTTGGTGGGATTCTGCTGTTTTATGGTTGATTCCAACCTTGAAGCCGGTCGGACTCCAATCAACAAATTTGGCGAATTTCTTATCCTTGACCATAGCAATGGCATGGTTGACGTCCTTGGGCGTCACATCTCCCCTATAGAGAAGACAGCAGGCGATGTAGCGACCATCGTCATCGCATGTAGAAAGCCGAGACTGTGGATGGAATACTTGGTAGGTGAGGTCTAATATAGACAGGCTTTCATGGGAGATCTTTCTGGAGTTGACGATCGGTGCGTACGTGATGACGGGGAAGTGTATTTTCGGAAAAGGGACAAGATTAGTCTGGAAGTCGACGAAGTCGGCGTTGAGGGATCCCTTGAAGCGGAGGCTGGAAGTCACGGAGCTGATGGTGGTGGAGAGGAGCCTGTTCAAGTTCTGGTAATTGGGGGAATCGACGCCCAGCTTGTTTTGGCAGATGTTGTACATCGCCTCATTGTCGCATAGGAAAACGCAGCCGATTTTGTCCAATGTGGCGTGTTTGTTGAGGAGAGTGTTGTAAGGTTCCACAACTGCAGTCGACATCTGTAAAATACGATATAAACGAAATCATTTTTAGAACTTATAAATTAATCATTAATTTAGATATACTTTTCTTGTTTTGTTTTCAACGACCATGCCTAATAGGATGTTATTAATTAATGTATAACCCTTCTTCAAATATAGGCTAATTCGGACCTTGTTCATCCTGATAGGCTATTAATAAGGAAGGGAATTAATTGCTCTAGTTAAAATTTAGTCAATTAAAACTTTTATTTAACAATTAAGAGCGAAAATAGGTTCGAATTAAGCCTGGGTATCCAAATTTGTGCAATAAAATAATATGAATTTATTTCATCTATGCTATATTATTTAAAAGTCATATATTTTGGCAAACTTTACAACTACTCATTTAGATATTAACGTGTTTCGCCGAGAGTTTATTTCGTTTTTAAATTCCAATTTTTTATACAACATTTTATGTTTTATAGTGTTGTACAATACAACAACTTTAGATTTTAATCAGAAATATATTTTTTGTTTATCTTCCTATCTCAGTTCGTAGTCCGAAGACATAGGAGATGCAGGAGACAGAATGAATAGGGAATGTATACAGGATGTTTCGTAATTGCACGGCACTATTTTAAGTATGTGTTCACTAACACAAAATAAAAAAAAGCTTCATTTAACGTATACCTCGAACTCATTTATTAAACAGATATCGAAGGTTAAAGATTTATTATTAATATTATTCTTTATTCTTTATCTTATTATTATTACTATTTATTTATTATTATTAGCACATTTAGAGTAACTGTTCAAAGGGTCCTTCGTTTTGTTGAATGCAACATTCATCACAACGAATCCATGCTTCTCTGGCTCTTTGTATAGCATCAGGATGATGCTTGATAGTTACTACGGCTTCCTATAGTTACTGTGTCAGAGTATTCACTCACACTAAAACACACAGAACTTCATTGATTATCATTTATTTGTTTATAAGGTAATTAAAACCTGTTAGTTAGTACTAAACATGTTAAACTTTGTACCAGTCAGGCTTAGTGATATAAATAAATTATATTTTTTTTACCTTTGATATATGTTTAATAAATGTGTTTAAGATATATGTTAATACGAACTTTTTTGTTTATTTTTGTGTTAGTGAACACATACCTAAAATTGTACGGTGCAATTACGAAACAACCTGTATATTGGATATTACTGTTTGTCATGAAATCATACACGAAATATTTTATTCAACATTTTTTTTTTAACTGTTTCAAAACATTCACGGAATCCCACTGGATAACGTAATCGTGCAATCTTGATTGGCAATATTTCTATTTATAGCATGTTTTCAGCTTTTTGAAATCCTTATGGATTTGATTTGAAAATCATTAATAATAATAATAATAAGGAAACGATTAAATAACTTGCCAATTTTACCTTTTCAGATCCATACTTCTATATCGCCTATATGTGAGATTTTCTTAAATTTAAGAATTTAAAATGCTATTGTATAGATGAAATAGTATCATATTATTTGATTGCTCAAATTTAGAAACTCAAAAGTCGATTTTCTACCCATTCTTAGAATTATTATTGTTCTTACCAATTGTTAAATAAAATTTTTAGTTGATTATTAAACTAGTTTAATTGATTTTCTTCAGGATTAACATCATACCTGGGTGAACCAGATTAAATTAGGAAAATATATGGAAATATGTTAATTCAATCCAATATCAGATGTAGGATATATATATATATATATATAGTATATAATATATATTATATATATATATATATATATATATATATATATATATATATATATATATATATATATTTAATGAAAACTTCTTTAAGCGCGCTTTGCAAATTTTTGTGGAGAGTGAATTAGATGGATCCGTTAGATTTCTGAAGTGTTAACGCTCGGGTAAAGTCGGCTAGAGTCCACTAATTGCAACATTTTTACATATGGATTAAAATATCCCAGAAATTATAAATCGGGCCAGCATACTGTAAGCGAGAAAATTGCTCAGTATTTCATCCTCTCTGTAATAGGCTATAATGCAAAATTGTATCTTAACGCTACGCCGTGTTAGAAAGACGAAAAGGAAAAAATACTGTCGAAACCAAGTGATAACGAGTTTAGTTAACAGATGGATTAAAATATTTTAAATATTAAAATTTCAAATACTAAAAGCTGGACCTGCATACCGTAAGCAAGGGTAATGTTCAGCATTTCGTCTTCTTTGTAATGCGCTATTATTTATAACTTATATTTTGTATTATTAATCTCGCCTTAATGATATTTTCACTTCTTTCGTGTGATCTATGCAAACACATTAGTTTTTTGTTTTTTTTACAATCGATTACAATGATTCATTCGTAATAACATAATATTCGACCAATTTGGAATTTATTAAGCTTTCAAACTATTATTGTTGTAATCAGATTTATTACAGCCTTATTAATAGTATACCTTTTGAGTTACGCTCAAATAAAATTTATTTTTCTTCATAACTGTTTTTTCTTAAATTTCAGGGGAATGTGGCTATTTTTCCACATGGAATACAAGAAACACAGCCTTAATATTTAGACTTAGGATTTGATGGCAAATTAATGAAGTTGTTGAGTACCGATAAACAACTATTTACCGGTCAAATATTTATTAGTATTTTATAAGTTCCAAAGACCGAAAATTTTTGTAGATCTTGATTTTTTCAAATTAAGTGTAAGCAGGTCAAATCAAGATTGAAATTTATTAATACCAAATTCTTTTTACTTGAGTTTGGGAACAAACTCATTTTTTTTTTTATTATTATTTTAATGGAATTTACAACTGTATTACATATAAAATACAATAAGTAAATGTGAAATTGGTAACATGACATGTACAAAATGAAGAGAAACTACCCATTGGTAGAACTCAAATTAAAGTTCTATATGAGAAGATCCCGAGGCCATCTTCTTTTCAGACGCCTCGGAGGGTCAGATCGAGGAGGAAGCAAGGTTTGAAACGAGAGGATTCGGAAGGTTCTGCAGTTTGTTATGGAAGGACAGGTATCTGGATTGGGCCAAATCGGAAACATATGGAACATTAAGGTCTTTATGGATGATTTTATTTGTGACAAAGTAAGAAGCATTGAGGATTTTACGAAGGATTTTGGATTGTAAGGATTGGATACGAGAAGAATTCGACGGTTTAGTGGAGCCCCAAAGCTCAATTTCGTAAGTCCAAATAGGTCTTATTTTTGTCATATATACGAGTCGTTTATAATTGATTGAAAGCTTAGATCGTTTGTCTAGTAAGTGCTGAAGTAGTAGAAAACGTCGGGCGGTTTCTAGTCGTTTCAGTCTTGTATGGGGGTCACAAAAATATTAAAACTATTTACCTTAGGAGATGGGAATATTTCGATTCCTATAATAGGGTTCTTGGTGAATTCTTCGTTGACGTACTCGGATATCAGTGCGTGGTAGCCTGACCCCGTGCCACCTCCGGTCGAATGTGTCATCATGAACCCTTGGATCTTGTCGCACACCTCCACCATGGCCCTCAAGCTGTCCTCCACGATGGGGTGAACCGACTTACCGGCGGAGCAGAAGCCTCTCGCGTAGTTGTTGGCCGCATCTTCTATTCCGGTCACTAGGTTGTGAGGCGAAAACAGTCCCTTTGCACTGCCGTTCTTCACTTCATCTGGATGACAGTGGAATAACATTCCATAAGGATATAATTGGAAAAAACCCAAACCACACTGCCTTATGTAAAATGCAGTCAAAGGAAAAACCTTTCATGTTTCGCCAATTCAGGTGTCATCAGGACCCATGCGCATTAGAGCATGCGATTGGATGGCATGGAGTGATGTTCGATAAGCAGTTGTTTTCTGTTTGATGATGCCTCATTTGGCGAAACGTTGGTGGGTTTTTTTCTTTCCCTACATTTTGGAGACATAAGGCTGAGTGGTTTGGAATTATTGCAATTATAACCTAACATTTATTCTCTGTATCTTGGTCAATTTGTTACAAATTTATACTAAAATATTATGTTACATAAAGAAAGTCAATAAGATTAAAACATTAAAATTTATTCATCTTGAACCATCGGAAGTGTTCATTAGATAACATCCAGTAAAGAATGGAATATATGCAATAATGGTTGAGTGGTCCCGAAATACTCCATTAAATAATCAAATTTTTTTTTAAAAAACATGTTTAATTAATTACTTTTAGTTGCAATGATCTTTTGAGGAGGAGGATGCGATATATTTTCAGCCTCTTAGGAATGGATTAAATGAAGAGTGAAATAAGTGACAACGTTGAGCACCACTTGTCTCTAGTTTGTTTAAAATGTAAAATTGAACATCAGCTATCACCCTTGCTCCTCTAGCTGTCGTATTTACCCTCATCTATAAAACTGGAATATGATTAGAAGTACTGAGATCTTTTGTCATTTCTGGCCAACTGGCCAGAATAGGTTCTGTAATGATCCAACCAGATATTCCTGTGGGCATGAATTCAACTTAAAATCCGTATGGTTTATGAAAAAAACGTTCTTCAGGTATAAAATGCTAATTAATATTAAAAGACGTTATATTAAACTTGCTTTTTAGTTAATTGAATGTTATCTACTTTATTTACTGTTGCACATTACCCCGCTGATAAGTGATACTTGTTTGGAGTTTTGATGTTTCACACACTACGAGTAAAACAACACAATTCTGCAATGAGCTAAACATACTCGATCTTCTTTCATTATCTAGTGTCGATGGTTAACCTCACCGGTATAAGTAATAAAATGGTTGGAAACTATAGACAAATGTCAGCACGAATCTAGGTCAGCACGAACATCAAATACAATACAAATAAATGAATATACAAAGAAATAAAGATAATTTGTATATAAATTATATGCGAATCGAAGGTATCTTTAATTATCTATGTAGACATTAGATTAATACTGAGTAGTAATTTATCCTGTACCTATTACGGTCGACTCCAGGTCCACAAAGATGGCCCTCGGCGTCCAACGTCCATTCGACAGTTCTTGGTAAAAGACCTGGAGTCCCTCCATTCCTTTGTACTGATCGTTGTCTTGGTTATCCCCGAAGTCATAGGCCCTGCTTTTGATTGTCGTCCCGCTGAGGTCCTCACCACTCCGGATGGTCATGGTACTTGGGTTATCCTTCAACTCTATCTCACCGGCTTCAGTGACGCTGTGCTCCAGCCCGTACTGTGACCAACAAACGTTGCCCAGCTGCACCCCAGCTTGCCCAATGTGTAACGATACAACCGCCATTTTTTAATATCTGAAACTATTTTAGTAAAATATATATCAAAAATGTTACAGGGTAAGATTACGATTAGAAATTGGCTTAAAAATTTATTTTTTTCTTTACTAAGGCTGGTCAAAGGCTGAAACATTTTGACCAAAGAATCAATTCGAAATAAAATAACAAAACTAGCTGAATTAAATTCTTAAAGAATCAATCTATGTTTCATTTAACCATAGGTTATTACGATTTTCATTCAGCAAATAATGTTACAAATGGTGAATTGATAAATTGCCTAAGTTTAAAAAGAAATATAGAATTAAATTTATTGATAAAAAATATCTAAAAAAACATTACATATATGATTGGTTCAATATAGAACTGTACTAATTTTAAAAATTGAGGATCTGATAATGTATTATTTAAAATATATAATTGTAGAAGTGAAATATTATTCTTCAAAAATATGTCATACATCATTTAGAAATATACTGTTTTATAAAATTGTAGATATTTATGACAAAATATCACAGTAAAACATAGATAAAAATAAAATTTCACGATTTTTATTTTATTAAATTAAACCAATGGGCAAGAAGTGCGGAGAAAGTAGGAATTAAGAGAAAAAAATTGAATAGTATGAACTAATTGATTATTAATCCTCATGGAACCTGTCACATGTCAGATTGAAAGGTAATGAAGATCGTGGGTTTGGAAGAAGTAGAACAATAAATGAAACAAAATGGATCATCTCAGTGCTATAGAGTTGGTTTCTTCCGCCCTTTCCAAAAAAAGAAGACAAAAAAAAAAAAAATGCAGTCACCTAGCGTGAAAAACTCCTGATAGCTACCTAATTATCTTTTCCCACCTTTACAATGCGGAAGTGCGATGAATAAGAATAAGTTGTTCAGGAAAATCTTTAATACTACAAGACTTCTAATACTGGTGAAATTTGACGGCGATATACAGGTTGTCCCGTAAGTGAAGGGAAATATATAAAACGTTGATTGATAGTAGCCATCGAGATCAACAAAAAAATATCACATAAACAATTGCCTAATTTCCAGCAGTAAAGTAAGAAATTTAGAATTCATAATTGGTAATTGGTTGACTGTCGTGGATAATGAAGAGAAGAATAGTTGGGGTGCTCAGTCAAAAAAGGAAGGCAAAAATAAATTATAATATTTATTTTTTACATCTGCCGACGTTTCGACCTGAAGTTCAGGCCATCATCAGGGCAATAATGTAGGGTAATAATGAAACGTCGGCAGATGTAAAAAATAAATATTATAATTTATTTTTGCCTTCCTTTTTTGACTGAGCACCCCAACTATTCTTCTCTTCATAAGAAATTTAGATTTGTGTTTTTTTGAGTCAGTAACGTTTTTTGTTGAATATAACGCCATAGCATAAAAAAAAAAAAAAATAATTAATGTAATTAAACATTGCTCCATAGTAAACTAGGCAAAATTTACTTCAAACAATAGTAGTTTGTCATTGTTAAAACTATTTAAAGAGGACTATTGGGCGGATAAACACAGTTTCCTTTAAAAAAAACAATAATAAATTATATGTGTATATTATTATTACATTGAGTTTGTCATTGACAAATACTTATCAATTCCTATGACGGATATGAGGAAGAAAAACACAATTTCATAATCACTTTACGTGAAAATAAATGATAAATTGTCATTTTTCAAATCATTGAAATCCTTATTAATATATCTTAATCGGAAATGATTCTTTTCGATTTTGATGATTTTTATTTAATCTTATACGTGATTAAAGACGCTTTCGAATACTCATAGGACCTGAGCACCATTTTGAAAAAAAAGTAGAAAAATAAAAGTCAACTAATTACAAAAATTAAGGACAAATATTTCGGAAATAATAAATTTGTTAAGGAAACAGGAAAAAGAACTACCAAATATACAAAACAGTTAGATTAATTAATAATTAATTAATTTTTCCTAGGTAACTTACCTAGTAGTAAGGCTAGTCCCTCACTACTTCTATCTCAGTCTCCCCTCCACTTCTTGTGATTGAAGCTTTTTGAAGAATTCGATTTCCGAAGATTTCCGAAAATTCGTCACGTTCATTAGCACTTCAATCATAAGATTACTCGTTCAATCAAAATTTCAATAGTGCCCCGGAACGTCCGTGTAAAGTCCGCTTATAATTTCAAAGCAATCGGTGAAGTATTTTCGGAAATTAGAGATTTATAACAAACCTTTTTTATTTATATATTTATATACACTATTTCTAAACTTTATTGGTAAAATTAAGAAAAAATATATTCTTTGCCAGTTTTTATACTGATTATTATGTAACCTCATTAGGGAGGGATTAAATTATCTACATATGGAATGGTATCAGGCACAAAGTTATCATATAATAGTGTAACCTACTCTAAAAGTAGTGTTGCCCAAATGCGAGACCGAGACGAGTCTTGGTCTTGCAAACTCAGTCTTAGTCATGGTCTTGGTCTTGCGCAAGAGTCTCGCAACGGTCTTGCGGTTACTTATTAGCTAATTACAATAATTATTAGATAGGAGGCACCTAATTAAGTAAAAAAATTAGAGGAGTTAAATGCAAAAGTATGTTGATTATACCAATTCTCTACTAACAGTAACTAAATTTATCAAATATTAGTGACTATTTTGCCTTAATTTTTATTCAAAAAATCGATTTTTTTTACCAGTCCTGGTCTTGGTCTTGCAACAGTTAGGTGGCCTTAGTATTGGTCTTGCACTTTGCACCGATGACCGATTTTGGGCAACACTATCTAAAGGTTTAGTCACTAATGACAAACATTTATTTAGTCACTAATTAAGCGTTAGAATGCACTTACGTTTAATTCTGTTCGTTGAGTAAGAGGTTTGTGTGATAGAATGTCTCTCAATTCATGCTTCTGTTTTAAACTTATTCGTGATTTGTAAAAGGTGCCCCTATGTCATAACGAAGAATTTAGTGAAAAATGAACGAACATATGTTTAAATATGCTCTTAGTGTGTATATTTAATAAAGTTCATGTGATGCAACTCCTTAGTGGTGTAATCTAAAGCCGAGGAAGTATAATTCTTCAAAAATGCCCGGAGTAATAAATAAATAACGCAATAACAAGAGGCGAACACATAGAGTAATGGTGATAAGAGAAATCAATATTTTTTTTTTCTAATTGATCTAATTTCGTACACAAAATTATCCGGATATGGGAAATATGGCTTTCTTTATCTCTGTAAATCTTAAGATACTTCTTCATAAATATTCGGATATAGCTCTATTACATATTTGTCGATTCGACCTATAAATATGTTATTTTTGTCATCCTCTTCCTGATCTTTTAGGAAATTTGTTTTTTTTCGGGTCAGGGGGGAGCGTGGGAGACTATTGCCAGAGTTAAAAACCTCCGTGGCACCAAGACGCGAATCATTTTATCATGACTCCTGTTCATCAGGTTACCAGGCAATGCGTGGCACACTTAAGTAAATTTCTGACATAACTAAAATATATCGACAACAACGTTCCTAAAGCCTGCAAGGACAGTAGTATGGAAAATTAGGTTTTGAACTTTTCTAGACAATCTTGTCGCATATTACGATTCCCCAAAAATGAATTACACGATGTTTCATTTCTTCTCTATGGCCTTTTGTAAAAACCTGTTTTTATAAACTAGCGAATCGTGATGTAAAAAACTATAAGTTACAGTGAAGATTATAGATATTGTGTCATTAAAGAAGAAACAACAAAATCCTCAAGGAAAGGTAGTCTTTTCAATACAGAATGTATAAAGCATTTTGAGCATAGACTACAATAACAATTATCTTTATTGATAAGCTAAATTATTTTTTCTCATTGCATTTTTTTTTTAATTTATAATCAATGGCGAACACTTCCAGCCCGGTGCCTCTGGGCAAATGCCCGGTTTCTCCTTCTCTGAGGCTGTCACTGCTTATCATGGAACTAGATGAAACAAAGAAGAGAGTGGTATAAGGGAGTATAATATTATATTATTAAGTATAATATAAGTCCTTCGTAATCTCCTATACACTGCAAAATGAGCTTGACTGGAAATAAGCTTCATTTGCCGTCGAATGCAGAGACCGAGAATTGATTTCGTTAATTGGAAAATTTAACACGAGGCGAAAAATGAACTCTGGTTTCATCTTTTCAAAACAATGAAGCGAAGTCGGAAGAATCTCATAAATTAAGTGATCTACACATCAACACTTATCAATCTAAAACTTACCAAGAATTTGTGAATCAAACCATGTCCATATGAAGTTGAGTACGTTAAAAACAATCTTTCATAGATAGATCCAAAATGAGCAGGGAGGGAACAATTGAATAGAGTTTGTTATCAAATATTTTACAGATTTTCTTTTGAAGTATCGTTTCTGTACATTTTTTATACTGATTATGTTTCTGTCATACTTTGATCATTATTAACAAAGTTATGGGTGTTCCTATAATGAATTTGATTACTTTTACCTAACTAGTATCTATTTTTCAAAGCAATTAAAAAACTATAAGTTAGAAGTAAAGGCCCTTAACGATTATATGACAGAAATACGATCAAAAAAGTTACATAGAGCATGCATTGCATCTTTGTCTCAGGCCTGCGAAAAAAATTGAGCCGAAAATATAATGCTCATAGAACAACTATAACTATATATATATATATAATATACTGTCAGTCCATCAAAAAATAAATAAATCAGTAAAAATTACCATTTTTTTTAAATTTAGTATTAGTAAAATACAAATAAAAAATGAAATAAACTACGAAACAAAATAATCGTTGCTTAGCTAAGAAGATACAATGAAAAACAAAAGAAAAAGATTAAAAAATATAAAAAATAAATAAACAAACAGTAAATTCAAAATAAAGTCCTTTAGTGAGCAACATATATACATATATCGTTTCTTGAACAATCATTATGCAAGCAGGTAATATATTATGGTAAACGCTAGATGATATTAATTTTTTTTCGAAATGGAAATAAAAGAATATATTTATAAAAACACATGAGAAAAACCTAAGATGCTTAATAAACTTTAGACGGTGGAAGAAGTCAGAAGAAACATAAAGAATCTAAAAAAAGGTCTTTCATGGCAGGAGAAGATGGTTTCATAACCTGCTAGCAGGCAGGAACACCTCCCTGGATATAATAACATTCTTGAAGGTTTACCAACCTAAAGTCTAGAGCTCTTGAAAAATAAAAATAAATCATTAAATTTTATCAATATTTTTATTAGGCTTTTCTGCTTTCAGAAGAAAAAAGGTAAAGAAACAAAAGAGATGAACAATTAATTAAATGATTTTTTTTTTATTTAACTAAAGCTTGCATATTGCATCGAAGAAAGAATTATCCTTACTTATATAGAGGGATCTTTTTATATATATATATATATATATATATATATATATATATATATATATATATATGTGTATGTATAAGATTTATATATAATATGTTATATTATATATATAATAAAATATTTGTATGTATAAGTAAGTAGAAAATTGTGCGTAAATATAGATAGGAAATTCATCTCATTGAAGTTACAAATTGGTGAACATTATGTTTTATGCAAACGAAACCTTTAAAGCATTCTGTATTCTAAATTCTGAAGAACCAATTGCTATATTTTTGACATTTGTAACTTATTTGAAGAATAGTTGAACTCTTATTGAACAGTTACTTATATATCGTCATAATGTCCAACAATTAATTTTTTTTTAGCATTGTTGAGCACCTTATCAGCATGATTTTGAAACCTGATAGCTAATTATGTTTAATTTTTCTATAAAAAATCAACTTTTTTTTTTTAAACACGAGAAATCACGAGTTTTTAAAGCAGGTATCATACCTTTGAAACGAAAGTAATTTTTATAAAAAACTAGCAGGGATAAACTCTTCTATGATTTTTGCTAAAACAAATATCAAAATGGTGATTTATGGTTTAAAAACAAAATTTGATTTTATACTGCTTCTTTTGGACCGTTGAAAATAAAGAGTTTTATCAGGACTCAAAATAATTTATGATACCTATATTTGTTTAAACAGCTTCTGTGACACGTAATAAAATAAAATCCAAAAGTGGTGATTTCTTTTATTTTTGAAAAAAAAAAAACAAGTAGATTTTTTAAAGGCTACCCCTATTTCTTTTTTATTGCTCATTCGGTTTCAAAATTTTTTTAAACTATCTGCACTATAGCTATAATAAAAAATATGATTTTGAAAGATATACCTCTTTGTTTATTCACTAGTAGATTTAACGATATTGATATTAGTTGGGTTTTTACTCGCTGAAGAAACTATTTTAACGACATTCTATCTGGTTGAGTTACGCTGTAAATAATATTTTATGTTGTCAGGATTTTTTAGGTTCCTGATATAATTTTAGCTGGCATGTTGGTTTCAACTTAGAAATAAATAAACATTAGATAATTAATCGCAGTTGAAGTTTGAGATAATTTAGGATTGAGGGGCTGCAGTTTATGGCCTCACGAAATTATCCTCAAGTCGTTAGGAAGATATAACGGCAGTCAGGCTGTCTTGGATTTATTTCTATTATCTTTTAACTTAATTTTTTTTTTTTTATTAATTACTAAAATTTTTCAAATGTTCTCTTGGAAGATTAATTTTATTTTTATTTTTATGGAGTAGAAAAGGATTTAAAAATTTAATTTAAAAATTTTTTTAGAGATTTAAAAACATATAAATTATGTAAAATGATAACATTATTTGTCTAGTAATCAAATCTTTAAAGAAACAAAATTCTGGAATATCAAATATGTAATGAGCAGATGTTCAGAAAGACTAATTAGTCTGTGGTAAAGCCACCTTTTTATCAAATGATTTACGTCAGTCTAAAACTTCGTAGGTAAATAGTTTCACCTTATCGTAACCTACAATTTTTTTATCTACGAAAATTTTCAGTAATGGGGCCTTTTCTCATATAATTAATTAATTTATTGACGTACTAAAAATTCATAAATATCCATTTGCTTTAAACTTGACATCACCAAGACTAGGTTGGCCGTCTTTCACCCAGGTATACATACTTTTCGGCATTCAGCCCGACCTGATTGGAGATCAACGCTGGACCTGCTATTAACCAGGGATCTGGACACCATTACGGATTGCCAAGCGCTTCCATATGGACCGTCGGATCACCGGCCTGTGTTCTACACGATCGAGGGCACACCCGGCACAACACCGGCGAGTAAATACTTACTCCACAAGACCGACTGGAAATGATACAAGTCTTGCGTTTAATCAACTTTACCGGCGGTAACGCCGAGCCAGGCAGTAGAAGAGGTGAACGACGCGGTAGATGTCATCACCACCACTGTCTAGGACTCAGCCAACCAGAACATCCCTAGGTTCGCTCCGCAGCCCAACGCCATCAGGAGACCACCACGTCACATCCTCGCCCTGATCAGTCAGAGGAACAATTTGAGGAACATCTTTCAGCGCACGCGTGACTACAGCTTGAAACCGGTCATCAATGCGATGACCCGGCAGATAACCAGCCTCATGCGATACTGGAAGACCTCACTCTGGCATGACCAGCTCCGGAGGACTCATGATGACCACCGCCAGTTCTGGAGACTGGTCCGGACGTTCGTTAACAAGAAGAGGACTGCCCACCTGACGTCTGGGAATGAGCTGCTGACACCTAAGGAACAGGCTGAACTCCTGCCCAAAAGCTATGAAGAGAGGGATGCAGAGCGGACGAGAAATGCACCACCAATACCGGAAGGACTTAGAGGATGAACCCGTTTTCTCTACCTTCAACCAGCTCTAGTCGACACTACGGCGCACCAAAGGAAACAAAGCGTCGGAACTGGATGATATTCCGTACGTACTGCTGAAGATGCTCCCTAGGAAAGGTAAGGCCTTTCTACTGAACATATTTAACTCATGTCTTCGAATCTCATGTTTTCCTACCGCATGGAAACAAGCGATCGTTGAACCGTTGCTCAAGCCGGCGAAGAACGGTCACATCAGCAAGATTTTCGAGAGGCTAATCCACCATCACCTTATGAAGCACTGTTGGAAAGAGAGC